ACAAGAAGGCTAGTCAGAAATATACAAAACGCAAAAAACCTAGCTATATGGCACTCACAAAACCGAACACAAAGATGAACCAACATAAAAAACATCGACTGGGAACTAACATACGCATTCATCAACTATAATGCTACACCAACAACTCGACAATTATAGTAGACAAAGACACTCTATATGGGATACACAAGCAAACATTTCGAAAATCCTTTAATTTAATTCGTATTACTGTAAAACTTTATAAATAGATACCCCTTGCATCAAAATTTCCATTCTCTAATTTAGTAATTTTTTACCCAACATCTTGAAAATAGAAATTTCCATCCTACAACAATTACAACCCCAGACCAGAGATGCTTTAAATAATTTTCTTGTACTATGGAACCAGGACCCCCTTGCTGCAAACAATAGTTTAATTATAAATAGAAATTCTATTGTAGTACATGATAGAACTGATATCATTATATCATTCCAATACATATCAGAAACAGAACGGGACCTATCTACACAACATTTGGAAAATGTTGATATGCTAAATAATTATTTTCCAGATATAGTATTTGACGATCTTACTTTTTCTATCGAACCTGTAGAAGAAGAATTAGATGTACTTTCTTCGCAACCTGATACAGATATTGTACCAATTCAAGACACAGAAAATAAAGTTTTTGCTTGACTTATTAAAGACCTCACAGAAGTAAAAGAAGAAGTTTTTATTTGACACAACCCTCTAATTGGAGTATACTTTAAAGAAAAACTTAGAGAAATTATTAGCTGACTAAAAGAAGAGAGCCGGGGAAAATCACGTGATCAACAAATTCGAATATTAGAAACATCGTATTATCTAGAACAGCTAAAGAAAGAAGCTGATAATAGTAAGGACAAGATACAGAAGATTCATAATAATCTCAAGAAAGCTTTAGGATCCAGACGTGCTGCCCGAGCATGGAAATGTGCTGAATGAATTTACCAACTTCTCCAAGTTTGTGGATTACATTATCTTTATTTCACTATGATGATTACCTTTAGTAACTTGGAAGAATTGAATGAAGAAGACTTTTCAACATTGCTAAGAGAAGTTAGAATTCACTGAGTTTATTCTTAAAGAGGACAGAAATGTTATAGAATGAGTTGTAGTATTAGTTTTATTATTAAGTTTATTATTAGTTATTATTAGTTATATTATTATTAT